AGTAGAAAAGGTGAAATGTTTATTTAGATAGTGTATTAGCCCTTTGCAATAAAGAAGTACCTGAAACTGGATAATTTATAAAGCAAAGAGGTTTATCTTGGCTCATGGTTCTGCAGGCTGTACAAGAAGTGCCTGCTTCTGGTGAGGGCCTCAGGAAGCTTCCAGTCATGGCAAAAGGCATAGCAAGAGAAGGACCGAGAGAGACGGGAAGAGGTGCCAGGTTCTTTTAAACAACCAGCTCTCCCTTGAACGGATAGAATGAGAACTCACTCATTAACGAGAGGATAGCACCAAGCCATTCTTTAGGGATCTGCTCCTATAACCCTGACACCTCCTATCAGGCCCCACTTCCAACACTGGGGATCACATTTCAACATGAGATTTGGAGGGGACAAACATCCAAACTCTAACAGCTAGGAAGCGCAAATCCAGACTTAAGAAAAGATCTGCAGGCCTTTGGACTAAAAGATAAAATTTGATTATAAATGCCTTACAATCAAAGAGTATATTTTCTAAACATTTTATTTTGCTTGATTTTCAAATTATTATAGCTACTTACAGAAAATTACTCTTGCCTCAAAACTATTACAGTTGGAATAGTAGATATGGGGAGTGTGTGACTTGATAACTGAAATTTGATGTTGACTCATTTTGGGTGGGTAGAATTATTATTTAAGGAGATATCAAAACTTGTAACATTCCTTTGGTAAACATGAAGCATATTTAAGATATGTGATTTGGTTTTTAGTTTATGCTTCCTACATGCACATGATTATTCTTTTCACTGTCATTTTAGGAGATAACTGTTTATGGGAATGACCATTCATTTACTTAGTGTACATTTCCTTGGCTTTCTAAACTCCTTTGACTCACCTTCACTCATTTCAACTTTTTTCTTTTTTTTTTGAGACGAATTATCACTGTTGCCCAGGCTGGAGTACAGTGGCACGATCTCGGCTCACTGCAACCTCTGCCTCCCAGATTCAGGTGACTCTCCTGCCTCAGCCTCCCAGGTAGCTGGGACTATAGGCGTCCACCACCATGCCCGGCTAATTTTTGTATTTTTAGTAGAGATGGGGTTTCACCATATTAGCCAGGCTGTCTCAAACTCCTGACCTTGTGATCTGCCCACTTTGGCCTCCCAGTGTGCTGGGATTACAGGTACAAGCCACCGCACCTTGTTTCAACATTTGACTCTTGCTGTCACTCAGAAAAACCCTGAAATCATCAATCCTCATAACTCATTCTCTAACTGTTACTTCTCAAACACCCAGTATATCTATCTGTTCTTTGACTTAGTCAGAATCAACATGCCTTAGCCCTGTTTGCGCCAGTTCACTTCCTCAAATACTGCAACCTTTTTCTAGCCATCACTCAACTCCTTCGTTTGTGGCATTTCCCAACTCTAGATTGATCTAGGCATTTATTTTTAATTTTTTATTTATTTTTCCTTTTGAGAGAGTCTCACTCTGTCCCCCAAGCTGGAGTGCAGTGGCATAGTTTTGTTTTACTGTAATCTCCACCCCCTGGGTTCAAGCGATTCTCCTTAGGCATTTATATTCTTTCATCTGGGCTGTTGAGTACTGCTGCATAAAACTGGCCATGGGGAATTCATGCTACCATATTCATGATCCTGGGTTTTGTTTTGTTTTTTAGAGAAACGGGGTCTTGCTCTGTCACCCAGGCTGGAATGCAATAGTAGGGTCATAGCTCACTGCATCCACCAACTCCTGGGCTCAAGTGATCCTACCACCTCAGCCTCCTGAGTAGCTGAAACTACAGGAACATGTCACCACACCTGGCTAATTTTTAAAATTTTTTGTAGAGATGGTATCTCATTTTGTTGCCCAGGCTGGTCCCAAACTCCTGAGCTCAAATGATCCTTCTGCCTCAACCTGCGACAGTGCTGGGATTACAACTGTGAGCCACCATGCCCAGCTACTTTTTACATTCTTAAATGGTTGAGAAAAAAGGCAAAAGATGAATATTTCCTGAAGTGAAAGCTATATGGATGGACACCAATGGCTGGGGGTGCAGTGGCCCACACCTGTGATCCCAGCACTTTGGGAAGCTAAGGCAGGAGGATCACTTGAGGCCAAGAGTTCTAGGCCAGCCTGGACAACATAGAGACCTTATCTCTACAAAAAAAAAAAAAAATTAAAATTTAGCCAGGCATGGTGGCATGCACTGGGGGCCTTACTACTCAGGAGGCTGAGGTCAGAGGATGGCTTCAACCAGGAGTTTGAGGCTGCAGTGAACTATGATCACACCACTACACTTCATCCTCAGTGACAGAGCAATACCTTGATTCTAAACAAAAAAAAGAAAAAGATTCTACTATACTAATACAGTAATAAGAGCATATATATATATATATTTTTTTTTTCCCCCCGTGGTAAACATTTAAAAGAAAAATGGAGACATTAGCTTAGCTTATCCACATTGTACTTCAGTAAAATAAAAAAATGTTTATATCTCAGTTCAACAGTACCATCTTTATGTACATAACTAAAGTTGTGACAATAACACTTTACTTTCGGCATGCAGTGTCAGTATTTCAGGAATTTTTGAATTGGTCTTCTGTCTTTAATGGTGACTTTTTTTAAAAAGAAGCTTGATTGTGCCACTGTTAATCATGTGATTTATTCTTTCAGCATCTACTATGTACAAGGCACCATTTAGGCACTGTAGTTAAAAGCATTTTTTATTGTTTATGTGGATGGTAATAATTATTCTTTAGCTGCTCAGTTTTATGATTTAGTCTTTAAAATTGCCAAGTATAAATAGTGATGTTTTTACCAGATGTGTAAGTACTTTGGAAAAATTGGTTGTTTTTGTGTTACACCTTTGCAATGCACATGCAATTTCTTCTTCCTAGAATATCATTATAGTTTTTTCTGTCCTTCTCAGGAGACTCCTTTTACACCTTAGTGTTTTATTATACTGTAGTTCTTTTTTTTTTTGAGACGGAGTTTCGTGCTTGTTACCCAGGCTGGAGTGCAATGGCGCGATCTCGGCTCACCGCAACCTCCGCCTCCTGAGTTCAGGCAATTCTCCTGCCTCAGCCTCCTGAGTAGCTGGGATTACAGGCACGCACAACCATGCCCAGCTAATTTTTTGTATTTTTAGTAGAGACCGGGTTTCACCATGTTGACCAGGCTGGTCTCGATCTCTTGACCTCGTGATCCACCCGCCTCGGCCTCCCAAAGTGCTGGGATTACAGGCTTCAGCCACCGCGCCCGGCCTATACTGTAGTTCTTTGGAAGTAGCAGACTGATAGTGATGTTCTCCTTTGCAGGCTAGCTATTAGACTGTCTCAGTAGTTGTAGATGATTAGTATCTGAGAGGGACTCACATGACGCTGACCTAAAACAGCGATCAGAATGCTTGAGTCATCCCCCTTTTAAATAGCATGGTACTTTTGGAAGAATTTTCCATCAGAGGACTGCTTAATGAGTTTAGAATCAGAAACAGAAATATGATGATCTGGAGCATGGATGTGAGATATTTCCCTTAAACTCTGGGAAAACCCAGTATAATATTCCTACTTTACAACAAAATACACACCCTTATAGTAACCTGATAGGCTATACCTGTCAGATCCAGGATCTTTCTGAATGATTTTAAACAAATACTTCATAGATTTTGCCTTTCTGAATGACTTTTTTTTTTTTTTGATACAGAGTCAAGGCGCCAGGCTGGAGTTCAGTGGTATAATCTTGGCTTACTGCAACCTCCGCCTCCCAGGTTCAAGCAATTCTCCTGCCTCAGTCTCCCGAGTAGCTGGGACTACAGGCGTATGCCACCATGCCCAACTAATTTTTGTGTTTTAGTAGAGATGGGATTTCACTGTGTTGGCCAGGATGGTCTCGATCTCAACCTCATGATCTGCCCACCTCGGCCTCCCAAAGTGCTGGGATTACAGGTGTGAGCTACTGCACCTGGCCCTCTGAATGACTTTTAAGCTTTATTGAGGTATAATTGATATATAAAAAATTATATTTTATGTATACATTTTGATGAGTTTGGGCATACTTATACATCCATGATATCACCACAATCAAGGTTCTAAACATATGTATCACCACCAAAAATTCTTTTATGCACACACACACATACACTGTATATAAGTTTGGGGGCTTTTTTTTAAGAGATGGGGTCTCTGTTACCCAGGCATGTCTTGAACTCCTGGGCTTAAGGGATCCTCTTGCCCCAGCATCCCAAAATGTTGGGATTACAGGCATGAGCCACCATGCTCAGCTTACACCCAAAAATTCTTGTGTCTGAACCATATCTCTTGTCCTGGTTGCCCTCTTTCTGGTTATTCATGTGTCTCCTCCTCTAGAGATTGCCTGTTTATGTTACTTTGAATTTTCCAGTCTGTAGCAAAATGCTTTGTACATTAAAAGCAATTAGCAAATATTTGTTAGAAGAATAATTACCATTTTAATTAAGAGGCATAGATTGTCTTTTCACTGCATGTTTATACAATGTGATGATATAAAAATCCAAATATCTTATTTCTATTTGTCAGTAATTTGAGACTTTTATCTAGTAATTTAGCACTTTAATTTCCACATATGAAATATGAATATAAGATACAAATTTTCAAGCCAGGTGTGGTGGCTCACGCCTGTAGTCCCAGCTACTTGGGGGGCTGAGGTGGGAGGATCACTTAAGTCTAGGAGGTCAAGGCTGCAGTGAGCCGTGATCAAACCACTGTATTCCAGCCTGGGTGACAGAGCAAGAAGACCCTGTTGCAAAGAAAAGATACAAATTTGTATCGTATGTATTATCTGGAATTACTTTTTTTTTTTCATTGGTTTATGCAACTTTATTGAAGAAAAATAAATAAATTACTAGCAGAGCTATTAGTTGATCACTCATCCATTGACAACTTGCATCATTTATTCAGTGCTATGTTAAACAGTGTACTGGAAGATAGATTAACTAATAGCTCCAAGCCTCCTAACAATTTAAATGAAAATTACAAAATGTTGGAGACCCTATTTTGGAATACAAAGGGTGTCTGACTTCCAATTTCCATTCTCTGTAGAACAAGAACAGGTCATTCCTTTATTGACATGCATAAAATACATCACATTTTCTGTTCTGCTGATGCTATAAATTCAATACCAATTCTCTAGCCACATCAGTTATGAGCATAAAGTATATCATGTAACCTCAAACCTCTAACAGTAGAAGGCTTAAACAAGAATGGATGCTGCTAGAATAATGCTGTTCCCTTTGATGTGACAACTGAGCATCCATCTCCCTCCCCCTCAGGATGATTTCTTCAGCATGTTAGAGCAGTGAGGAATGGTTTTAGTCTCATAACCAAGTTAGAGTCAAGATATTGGCCACATAATACACATGCTCCATTTTTTTAAAAAATTCTGAGTCTTGGGCAACTGTTCTCTTGTAACTACTTTACAGTTTCTAAAAGCAGTTATTGTCCAAAGCTGGAAGAACTTAAGTCTTCTCAGATGAGCATGTGAATGAATGGGGGGAGGTAAACAAAAAATAAAATTAAAAAAAGATGAGGTCTGATAGGGGAGCAGCCGGATAAGAAAATCAAAAAAGGAACAGTAATTTAAAGTTTATTCCAGCTATAATGCAGGTTATTCTGACTTTGAGGTAGCATCACATGGCATACTTCTGAGTCCATTCCCGAGATATTCTGTTGTACTTATCTCTGTCTGTTTTATAGATCCGTGCAATCTCTGGCACTAGGGGGTCATCTGGGTTTGGATCACATAGCAGTGAACAAATGGATAAAAGAACTTTAGAAATTGTTAAAGCAGGCGACCACTGTGATCTTAGAATATCGAGACAAATGCTGCCATTACTGTTAATATTTGGATGATAAATTCTTGTTGTAAATGCAACCTTAGGTGGTTTGAAGGGGTAGTCTGTAGGAAAATGAATTGTCAAAAAGAATACACCGCCTTGATATGGGCTGTCATTAGGTCCCATAATTGTGGCTTGCCAATGAAACATATCATCCCCAACTGGACCTGCAGAACATTGTGCTGGAGGGTCACGGGCCAAATCACTAAGTTCCTTATTAATCCGTTTCAGTGCCATAGTGTGTGCTTGTCGTCTGGCTCCTCACTCTCTCGGTGTGTGCTCAAAGGTCCGGCCAAAACTCTTGATTATCCCGGCGGCGGGGCAGGATTGTCTCGTCTCACACCGGCTCTGCCAGACACAGGCGCAGAGGGGCCGGGGCCTCCCTCAAGCTGCGGCCTCGGCCTCCTCCCCGCGCGGCAGCTGGTGCCTCCCCGGCCCTGCCTGGAATTACTTTTTAAAGATAATAAACCCTTGGCTGTATTTTATAAATACTTAAAGGTAAGTCTGAAAATTTCTTAGACCATCCCAGTTAATTTTGGCTAGAAAAGGGATGATGTAAGTTCACTTTTGTTATGCTTATTCCCTTAAATATGAAATTTATTTTATAGGCTTCTTTTACCAAATTATTTGACTCTTCTTTTTGATATTTTACTGATGAAGTCCTTCATGATGGCTGAATCAAAAAAAAAAAAAATCTGTATTTGGTGTAGTTTCTTGGGCTTTTAGAAATAGTTGTACAGAAATTTGGATAATCCATAAGAAAAAACAAAACCATGTTTTGAATTGCTAAATTATCCTAGAAACTCTGCCCTCCCCTTGCTTCCCAGCACTCATATGAATTACAGTTATTAAATATTCATAGTACCTCAGGAGATAGCTGTGGTTTACCCAAAAGCATCTAGAGACCTGCTCTGCTACTGAAAGCTTCATGATTTTGAGTAAGTCACCTAACCAAACTAGTTTCTTCCTCTGTCAAAAGGAGGGCTTTATACTAGATGATCTGATGATCCATTCTATTCCAAATCTAGATCTCCACACAAGCAAGAGGGGGCAGTTTTCATATTTAAAGACTTGTGAAGAACACCAGCTTGTAAAATTTATAGACACATACATATATACCCTGATCCTGTAAGGCAGTGTTCATCAAATTTGAGCAATTTACAGCACCCACTTTTTGTCCAGAACCCATTTTAAAGGAAAATAATTATTGCAGCCTCTAAAGAGTATGTTCTTTAACACAAGTTTGGACAACACATACTTAAATGTACAAGAAATGCCCAACTTACAGACTTCTACAGTCTATATATACTAGTACCAGCCATCAAGCTTCTCTAAAGCCTCTGTTTAAAAACCAAAAACAACCCAGTGTGATGTCATGTGCCTTTAATCACAGCTACTCAGGAGGATTGCTTGAGCCTAGGAGTTCAAGACCAGCCTGGGCAACATAGACCTTCATCTAAAAATTTAAAAATAATTAAAAATTAAAAAAAAAAAACAACAACAAGTTGTAGAATAATCTGAAAAATAGATTCTTTTCCTTCTCCCTTTGTGTACCTGTTGGTTCTTGTGTCTTGGGACTTCAAAACTCAGGCCAGTGGCATTTAAACTTTTTTGATATAACCTGCAGTTGACAAAGGAAACCAATTATGCATATCTATACAAATGTGTGTGTACAGACACACAATTGAACATACTTAACTAAATGGAATGTATGCTGTTACTTTATTTCATTTTTTAATGCGTTTTACGATGCACTGAATTTTACAACTAAACCTAGTCCCCATTTATAGCACTTATTTATTTGGAGGTTTATAGAAAAATACAAACCTCCAAATAAATAAACTTAGAATCAACTTTTATATACTACTTATTTATAAATTGAAGAATGTCTGTCTTTGAATGTATTTACTTCTTTTATAATCATATTGAAACCTTAGTGATTCAAACCAATTTGGCAGGAGCAATTTGACATATGTAGTACTTTAAAATGAGGCTTATTATCATACTTAATATCTCTAGATATTAAAGTAGACCCAAATTAGTCTAACAAAATCTTGGTCTCGAGGCTCTTTGGAGTCCTGCTAAATCATCATTTAGCTTGCCATTTTCTTTACTATTTTAATTTTAAAAAAACTTTGAAGAAAAGATTTCTGAGTAAAGATAAACTTCAATCCAGACTTTTTTTTTTTTTTTCTTAGACAGAGTCTCTCTCTGTTGCCCAGACTGGAGTGCAGTGGCACAATCTCAGCTTACTGCAGCCTCTGCCTCCTGGGTTCAAGTGATTCTCATGCTTCAGCCACCCGAGCAGCTGGGATTACAGATGTGTACCACCACACATAGCTAATTTTTCTGTAATTTTAATAGAGACAGGGTTTTGCCACATTGGCCAGGCTGGTCTTGAACTCCTGGCCTCAACTGATCAGCTTACCTCAGTATCTCCCAGGGATTATAGACATGAGCCACCACACCTGGCCATCAAACCAATCTTTTTAGATTATCTTTAATTCAAAATTTATTAATTGAAGCATGTTAACTTGGGCTTAATTTTTCAAATGGTTGACCATAATCACCTTACCTAAAAGTTTTATTACTATAGTAGCTGCAATTTAAATGGTTTATATAGACAAGGCATGTTGGCTTATGCCTATAATCCCAACACTTTGGGAAATGGAGGCAACAGGATCACTTGAGCCCAGGAGTTTGAGACCAATCTGGACAACACAGTGAGACATCATCTCTACAAAAAAAAAAAAAAAAAAAAAACCAAATACAAGTTTCCTTATTGCTTGAATTACAAACATTTAAGGGGAGAAGTGAGCTTATAATAATACTGTTATCTTCTCTCTCTCACCCATCATTCCTATAGGTGTACCAACATTCGACCAGGAGAGACTGGAATGGATGTAACAAGCCGCTGCACCCTTGGAGACCCCAACAAACTGCCAGAAGGGGTTCCCCAACCCGCCCGCATGCCCTACATCTCAGACAAGCACCCTCGACAAACCCTGGAAGTGATTAACCTTCTGAGAAAGCACCGGGAGCTATGTGATGTGGTGCTAGTTGTGGGCGCCAAGAAGATATATGCCCATCGAGTCATTTTGTCAGCCTGTAGTCCTTACTTTCGAGCTATGTTTACAGGAGAATTGGCAGAGAGCCGTCAGACAGAAGTAGTGATCCGAGACATTGATGAAAGGGCTATGGAATTATTGATTGACTTTGCATATACCTCCCAGATAACTGTAGAAGAGGGCAATGTTCAGACTCTTCTGCCAGCTGCTTGCCTCCTCCAGCTGGCAGAAATACAGGAAGCGTGCTGTGAATTCTTAAAGAGACAATTAGATCCTTCTAACTGCCTGGGCATTCGGGCTTTTGCCGACACACATTCATGTCGTGAGTTGCTAAGGATAGCAGACAAGTTCACTCAGCATAACTTTCAAGAGGTGAGTTGCACTTGGTGTTTCAATGCATTTATGACCTATTTGTTGGAGAGCAATATGGGTTCTCATTCTGGGTATGTCCTGCTGATTCTAACTCATAATAGCAAAGAAATAAATTATTATAAATCCTAAACCAGCTTCTATTTTAGAGGCCAATTTTGTGTTCTACCAGCCAAAGTTAAGATTTAGGGATTGATTCTCCCTAACTGTATTCATAAAAGGTTACTTTATAAGCCAAAATAGAGTTTAATTCATAAGAAGATCTATGCCTGATAAGATACCTGATATCATCATATATATATTTCCTTCCTGTGTGGATTATTCAGAATAGATGATAGATTATTTGGTAAACTAATAATCTGAAAAGATGAGTTTAAATGTTATCAAAAGAATTTTCATTCTCTGCAGTCACACACACAAAAAAAGAATTTTCATTAGACCTGCTATCTTTCCCTTATTCATTTAACAAATATTTGTAAAGCTACTATGTTCCAGCCACTGTGCTTGGGAACATAGGGTACAATAGTGAACAAGAAATCTAGAGTCTGTATTCGTGGAGTTTATAATCTAGCAGGGAAGATAATCATTGAACACTTAAACATGCAAATAATCAACTACAGTTAATGGGTGTTACAAAGAAGCAGTCCTGGATGATTTAAGAGTGTATTACAGAGAAATTTAACTTTGGTCCTGGAACAACTTGTGCAAAATCCTGAGACATTAAAAAGCATATAACTAGTTTGAAGATCTGAAAAAACCCAGTGGGACCCAGAAACCAAGGCAGTGGAGAATGTTACATAGTGATTACACAGAAAGAAGAAGGCTAAATCACACTGAGGTTGTTAGACCATGTTAAGAATTTGAGATTGGCAAGGTGCAGTGGTGCATGCCTGTAATCCCAGCACTTTGGGAAGTGGAGGCGGGGAGATTGCTTGAGCTCAAGAGTTCAAGACCAGCCTGGGGAATGTGGTGAAACCCTGTCTCTACAAAAAATACAAAAATTAGTTGGGCATGATGGCATGTGCCCCTAGTCCTAGCTACTTAGGAGACTGAGGTGGGAGTATGGCTTGAGCCCAGGAGGTAGAGGTTGCAGTGAGCCAAGATCATACCACTGCACTGGAGCCTGGGTAACAGAGCCAGACACTGTCTTAAAAAAAAAAAAGAAAAGAATTTTAGATTGATCCTAAGAGTGCTGGAAAACCATTAAAGGATTGTAAGCAAGGGAAGAACATAGTCTATTTTATAACATTTTAAAATTCTTATTTTATTTTTATTTATCTATTTTGCAGTAAGGTGGTCAGCTCAGGACCCTACCGTTTTTTTTCCCCCAACAGTTTTTGGACTAAAGGTATATAATTAATATAATACTAAAGGTATATAATTAATACCTTTAGTGTTAATTAAACACTAAAGGTAGTGTTTAATTATATGAATAAGTTCTTTATTGGTGATTTCTGAGATTCTGGTGCACCCATTACCTGAGCAGTGTACACTGTACCCAATGTGTAGTCTTTTATCCCTCACCCACCTCCCATACTTCCCCCTGAATCTAAAAGTTATCCTGCCTCAGCCTCCTAAAGTGTTTGGATTACAGGCACAAGCCACTGCACGTGGCTAAGGAAAACATTCTTAATCAAATGTTTAAATTATTTTTATGGCCTGTTGCATATTTTGCTAAATATTTTGACTTTTTGATGATCATGAATATAACCCTGTCCCAAGAGAATCCATCAGCTTCATTAGAGGTACTGCCTGCACTAATAGACATCACATGTAGTATAATCTCCTGAGTACTAATATAACAAACCACATGAAGGGTAGCAGTGACTGTTTCTTTCCTCTGCGTTACACCCTGTCCCTTTTACTCTACATCCTGATGAATGGAATTACAAGGCCTTGGAATAGGTGGCTGGCCTGCACAACAAGGTAATATTCTCGTTGCTGTTTCATCTCCATTCTGACAGCTCCCTAGCCGTGGGTAAAGAGAATTATTGGTGTTTGTAGTTTCTCACTAGCAT